ATAAAAGACACGGAATATTTTAAATAAAGTGCAATTCATGGAGTATCCGCTAGGGGGACACACTGTTTTGATCAGAGTAAAAGACAACATTGTTTTGATTAGAGAAGAAGACAACAGCAGTCTCAGTCTGTCACTGAGACAGACCCAACACAGTAGACGCTATCAAGGATATGTGAAAACATTATTCTTTACATATTGAATAGCAATCTCCTTAGTTTGTAAGGTGTAGGCAGGGATTAAATTTAGATTTGATATGCACATGTGTAAATGGTTTAAAAAATCCTTTCTTTATAAATCTTGTTTACTCTTAAAATGCATGACTATATTTTTCAAAACCAATAACTTGTTAGTTTTGTGCCTTTGCACAGTCAGTGGGATCACTTGCAATGCATATATGTGAATGATAAAAGTCAATTACCCATTTGTCTAAGGAAATCAAAGGAGCTTCATGAAATGTTTTGTAAAAGATCTGTTTGTTAAATTTCAAATTTTTCCCACTGTTCTTGTGCTTCTTTAGACCAAAACAAAGGAAAGACATTATTTTGGTTATTTATAGCAGAATATGGTATAATTTTAATGGTCCAGCCAACTTTACATCTGCTGAGGCCGTATGTGGCCCACCATGTGAAATGAGTTTGACACCCCTGCGATAGAGCCTTCACAACCACTGCAGCTGTAACAAAGCGCTTTCCACAACATTTATAATACTACGTCCAATCAATCAGACTATTCACCCATACGCGTCAAATCATAAGGTGCACTGTCGGCTTTTGAGAAAATTGAATGCTTTTAGGTACCCCTATCGTGCAGAAAATACGGCACAGAGATAGTGTTCAAATTCAAGATAATTTGAGCACGTTTTTTTTCAGAAGTGTGTCATGAACTGGTAGCCCTGCGCATGAATCACAATCTAAGCAGTAACTCTCAATTTCAAAAAGATTGGGGACCCCTGATCTACTCCATACAGTGACCAAAGCGCATTGCAAAGCCTCAAATTGGCGCACACACTCATGCACCAATAGGTGGCTGCTGCCACGCAAAGTGCTGACGGGCCCACTGGGAGAAAATCAGGGTTCAGCATCTGGTCCAGGGACACTTCAACAACAGTCAGCCGTAGCCTGGATTCAAACCGGCGATCCTTCAGTCACTGGATGACCTGCTCTAATTGAACCACAGCCGCCAAGAAGATGGAATAGTCTGGAGGAGTCTGGACTGTCTCAGAATAGTTTGTTATTTATCCTCCCCCCAACGCACCATAGAATTTCTTTTGTGATTTCTTGGCTTTATTTTCTGTTCTGGTGGATTATTTGATTTTCTTCGAGTCATTGAGTTAATTTGCGTTTTTCAGAGGCGGTCCTTGAACGCCTCTCGAGTCAAACGCATATTGGACTGAAACTATCTACTTCTCCTTTCGGCACGTCCCTATTCAGGGGTCGCCACAGCGAGCCAGTAGTTTCCATCCGTCCCCGTAAACCGTCCTACCAACTCGCATGGTCGTCTTGGCAAAAGTTTTACGCCGGATGCCATTCCTGACGCAACCCTCCCCATTTCTCCGGGCTTGGGACCGGCACTAGGGAACAGTGCACCCCCAGGGGAGGGCACTGCTCCCCAGCGGCTGGGTTTATTGGACTGTAACTATAACTTCTTGAAATAAAATACTTTATTAATCACTTTTAGAGCCTTTTACTGGGCCCCAGGCAATTTCCTGTGTCTGACTAAGGGCATGTCCGCCCCTGGCCACCCTGAGATAAGGTAAAAAAAGAAATTGCAATGGCTTCAGAAATACATAAAGACGAATTATGAAGTCTATTTTTTTTTTTTTTTTTACTGATGAATGCCATGGTACGTTGGATGGTCCATATTGAACAGGTTCTGGATTGTTAGTGGATGGCCAAGAATGTAAATCCTGCTAAAAATCTCTTCAGTATTACAAATGGCCAATAACTGCCATCATAAAAACAGAAAAGAAAAGAATCGGGCCTTTCTCAGTAAAATAATTGCCATGCAGAACGATGCACCATCCCTCCACAGATCAAGCTCCCCAAAGAAACTTTTGATTTGAACCCTTTCAGGGACAGCGGTCACTACAGTGGACAGCTTCTCATGTTATCAGGTTACAGGTTATCATTATCGGTGCATGAAAGGGTTAAAGGAAAACACATTTTTGGTGTGGCTTTACTCATCCGTTGACCTCAATGCTTTTGGAAACCCTTGAAACACATACTGCAGTGATTATGGTAGTTTTGTTCAGTAAAATCCCTATTATCGAATACAGTGATTTAAAAAAAATATTACTATTTTGGAAAATTATTAATAATGGCAAATTATATATACATACATGGCAATGGCGAGTGATGAAAAAAGCGGAAGGGGCGTGGCCTGGCCGGGGGCGTGGCCTGGACGGGGCGTGGTTACTTCCAAAAGTAGCACTAAACATGCTGAAGATTAAGTGTATTCAATTTACACACTACTTGAAACTGTAACAGAAAAAAAATCCCAAGATTGTTCACTATTCTTTCAAGTGAAAATGTGTGCAATTTTGCTTATGCATTCCTAGTGAGCACCAATATGTAACTCCAAATTTGCTGCTCAAAATCAAAACTAAAAAAGTAAACACATTCCCTGCCATATTTAAGATTTGTTCATGACT